GCACATTCTTGCACATTCCGCGAACATTCCTGCACATTTCGCTGTTTAGTAGGACCCCCCTAGTTTACACTAAGACGGTGGATTGTGAAAAACAACCAAACTACATGTACTAGGAAAATGGGTTGTATATTGGTGTTGGTGGAATGTAATCGGCATCAGCGTTAATAAATGAAGTGTAAAATGTATACCCATCTATTAGATTACTTTTCTACGTTACATGCACATGCAGCGTTCCTACATCGACGTTTTTCACACTATGTCTATTTATCCATGTTCTCCTCTGAATCTGATACTGATAGTGTACTAAGAAGTATCATCCTTCATGTTTATATCCGTATGGTATTGGTAACAGTAAACACGCAAGGCTATATTAAAGTATTGTATGTGTGCGCGCGCGTATATACAACAATATATCCCAGCCAGATTATTATTTCACCGTCATAGGCCTACCAGGTGATGGGTTAAGCAAGAGTAGAAATCATTTTTGGGAAGAAATGGTGGCCCTGAAAAGGGCCGGTTAGTTTCACTGGTGCAGGCGCAGTCAGTGTTTAAGCGCGTTCGCCACGGATACGGCGAGCGAGCTGGATGTCCTTGGGCATGATCGTGACTCTCTTGGCGTGGATGGCGCACAGGTTTGTATCTTCGAAAAGACCAACGAGGTAAGCCTCGCTAGCCTCCTGAAGAGCCATCACGGCGGAGCTCTGGAAGCGCAGGTCAGTCTTGAAGTCTTGCGCGATCTCACGGACAAGGCGTTGGAAAGGCAGCTTGCGGATGAGCAGCTCGGTGCTCTTCTGGTAACGACGGATCTCTCTCAGGGCGACTGTGCCGGGTCTGTAACGATGAGGTTTCTTCACTCCTCCGGTAGCCGGGGCACTCTTACGAGCTGCCTTCGTCGCCAACTGCTTCCTAGGAGCCTTGCCTCCCGTTGACTTACGAGCTGTCTGCTTGGTACGAGCCATTATTATAAAATTATAGTAACTAACGAACTCGAACTGCAATAATTCCTCTTACCATGCTGCCTTTATATAGGAACCATGGGTAGCGCAAATCCTCTGATTGGTTAACAGTTCGGCTGCTGCAACCGGATTGGCCACTTACGTTTTCATACACCCGAACACTTGAACCGGAACGTGCAACCATGTGTTTGTATAATATCAGGAGTAAGATAATATAGATAATATCCTATATTATCTTACTCCTGATAATATCTATGGTACAACCATAGAAATAGTATAGATAGGTTATATCATTTAAAATTATATTATTTCTATGGATACAACCATAGAAATACAGTAAAAACCCGCGTATAAGAACCTAGATTTTTCCAAGTTACCCTCAATAGGTTCTTATATAAATGGTGTTTACTGAAAAATTAGGCTCAATAGGTTCTTGTTTCTACTTTTAATATGTATAAGCTTATACTTGATTCAAATTGTGTTAAAATTTTCTTACACGGAGTGCAATTTTTGCCAATTAATACCCATGATGGGCTACAGTGTAGGTTTTTCAGTGCTTACCAATACTGTATGATACAGTATGTATCCAAGGAAACAAACCAACATGCAAAAAGATGCGTGCCAAAAAGCTATAGATACAGCCAAGAGCAAAATGTATACAAGTCTACCAAATTTAATAAATCGCTATAATGCTGGCCACGGGAAGGGCCTTGAGATCCCTGTCGACTATAGGTTGGTTGGAGATAGGGGTTACTTGAAGAGTTTCACAAGGAAACTTCAAACCAAAGAATTTGCTGAAGAACTCAGTATTGCACGAAGGGTCGTTGTCGTAACAGGTACTACAGATATGTACCCGAGGTAGTTTTAGGTTGTTTAGTATTATGTTTATATTTTTATATAATTAGGAGGTAGTTTTAGGTTGTTTAGTATTATGTTTATATTTTTATATGAGGTATGTTTAGGGTTAGAGTTAGGGTTAGTGTTAAGGTTAGGGTACACTTCTGTAGTACAAGTCTGGTACAGTTTGTGTATACATATATGTACCTCGGGTACATATCTGTAGTACCTGTTACGACAACGACCCCTTGAGCCTCAGTATTGCTGATAAGTCTTCATCTGCATGGAAAATTAAGAACCTACTTTAAAATCTTAGCCTAAAACAGGTACTTATGTAAAGGGGTCTAAATGGGAAATTTTAGCCTAACAGGTTCTTATACGCGGGTTTTTACTGTAGTAATCTTATCTTACTGTAGACTACTATATCTATACTTAATATCTATACTATTTCTATGGGTACAACCATAGAAATAATATAGATAGGTTATATATATATATTATCAAGAATTATTAGCTCTTGATATTATTTCTATGGGTACAACCAATACAAACAATTTTCGCGCCAAGATGAAGTTCGTGCCTGCGGTGCAATATAACAATGGAAGGGTCTATTTGAACAATATATGCTTTTATACAATAACTATACACACGCACGCTATGACGCTATGTTACGGGTTTTATCGACGGATTACGTGACTGTCATGGTCATAGTACTCAGTAGGTACAGTAACGGTAGCAACCTCTATCAAGTTTGGTACCGTTGTCATATCAAGTTGGCTGTATTCCCCGTATTCAATTTCAACCACTGCTTTTAGAGTTATCTAATCAACGACGTACAAATATCTATTCTTCTCGTAGTAAAACGCATAAACATATCGTAGCCTGGATTGATCTAGGGTTATATTTTGGTAAAATGTAATAGTCCCCAAATGAATATACCCCAATATTCTCGAGTTAATTTATTTACATTGTGAACCGATCGATGTACGCATCTTTAGTTGCGCAATTTTTGCATATAAACTATATGTGACCTAATTATCTCGTCTGAGACTAGGGTTGCACATTTTGGGGAATATTCAGAGGTGGAAACTTTCCGTGGGAATTAACGGGAATATATGGGAATTAACGGAAATATATGCAAATTAATATTAATATCATTTAAATGTAGATGTTTTTTGCATTGGATATATTTACCATATCATATGGAGACAGAAACATAAACCTTTTAAGTAGACAATTGCGAGTGATTAAATCCTTCCAATAGAAATATAAAAAAAACAATTTAGTTAGGAATTGAACTTTAATTAAATGAGTTGACTCTTCACATAGGATGATTTCACTGAACAACAAAAGAAAGACAATATTGAATGATCCCCATTCCCCAATGATCCATCGCATCTCCCAAAAACGTTTTCAACATACATCTGTAAAATTATAGTATAGAAAGTAGAAACTAAAGCTTTGGTTGTCTTCCTCTCAGGCTTCCATGTCTTCTCCCTGGACCTCCTCACTGTCCACCTCTTGAACATCAGCCTCTGAGGCCTCATCTTCACTGTCACTTTCCAACCTTGTTGAGGATGGCTCGTTGTCAGGCTCAAAAAGCCTCAAATTTGCCCGGATGGCCACCAATTTTTCTACCCTTGTATTGGTAAGTCTGTTGCGTGCTTTGGTGTGTGTGTTCCCAAACAAGGACCAGTTGCGCTCTGAAGCGGCTGATGTTGGTGGGATTTGGAGGATGATGGAGGCAACAGGGGAAAGAGCCTCAGATCCACAAAGTCCCTTCCACCAGGTGGCTGATGAGATATGTTGGCACGACTGCCATATTGCATCTCCATCCCAAAGCCCTTGCTTGGAAGTGTACTTCGCCAGACTGCCAAGAACCTTGCCCTCATCCAGGCCAAGGTGGCGAGACACTGTAGTGATGACACCATAGGCCTTGTTGATCTCTGCACCAGACAGGATGCTCTTGCCAGCATACTTGGGGTCCAACATGTACGCTGCAGCGTGTATGGGCTTCAGGCAGAAGTCTTCACGCTTTTTGATGTATTTCAGAACTGCAGTTTCCTCTGCTTGGAGCAACAGTGAAGTGGGCAGGGCAATACGGATTTCTTCTCTTACATCTGCAAGCAGAGCCTGAACATCAGACAGGATGGCATTGTCTCCCTCAATCCGTGCAATGGCTACTGCTATAGGCTTCAGGAGTTTCAGGCTGCTTACCACTCTCTCCCAAAATACATCATCCAGGAGGATCCTCTTGATGGGGCTGTCCATATCGGCAGACTGTGATATGGCCATTTCTTCATTTGATAAGCCCCCCCCCTTCCTTCTTTCCTGGATCTGCCACTGCATCTCATTACTTTAGTGTGCAAGATCTTGAGAATCAGCTGTACATGTGATGGAAGAATGCACTGACTGTGCATGCAGAGGGTTGCAATTCCATTGAATTGGGGATAGTTTAACCAAAATATGCCACAAGACCTAGAATTGCCTTATGTGTATCCCACAAAAAAGGTTCANCTTTGCCCGCAAGCCGGTACGTCGGCTATAGTTCTATGTCCCCCTGAACCTCTCGCTTGTGACCTGGCTCGCTTTCCAGCTAGTTTCCTGACGTGGATATAATCAAGAGTGCATAATAGAGATCTCTATTAATATCTAATCATAATAATAAATCTCTATTATGCACTCTTGATATAATATATATAGGGTTAGGGTCAGTCAGAAATAGCTAAACGAGCCAGGTCAAACAGAGGTCAGGGGGACATAGACCTTACGCCTATACGAGCGTTACGCGAGCTATAGTTATTTCTATACTTTACTCCGAAGTGGCTGGGAAGTACGGGTAGCTCTAGGACTATAGCCGCAACTGTACGCGGGCTATAATACTCAATAGTCCTAGAGCTAGAAGTACGGCAGCCGTCGTTCGTTGAAGCCCCTTTTGGCGTTTATTTGAGGCTGCAATTATTTGCGATCGTGTGATGAAAAAGTTTACAATAATGTTCATTTTCATACCGAATCAGTTTTCACTCATCAAAACTCACCGAAGTCGCTGAACTTTATCTGCCCTTACTTTCTAGACCAGTTTTATGGTATAGCACCTCTACAGCATATAAACCCATACAGTCACTGAGAATCGTAATTGGTACCGAAATGTTTCAACATAATACCAGAAATGATTGCGAATTGATCATACGTTGAGACAAGCCCATAAATTTTGGGGAAGTACTCATTCCTGGACTGCTGTTTCGAACCCTCGCACTGCTTATGTGACGCTCCCTTGTTGCGTTTATGTAACCTCGTAAATATCAGTCTTAGAATCAAAGTCCAAGGAACTATCAAAATTATATGTGATTATTTTTAACTGTAATTATAATAATTATTGGCACAGATAGGCCTAGATTCTATCATTCCTGATATGAATGCGCCCGGCAGTGAATGCAATGAAATGTACGTTGCATGGTTTCCTAAAATACGATTGAGTACAACGGTCTTTCCACGGGCATTTAGGCCGTACGCGGGCTATATAGTTACTACCAAGAGCTAATAATACTATTAAAGAGGTAATCGTATAATTGGTATAACTACTAACTAGCTATAACTAGGTATAGCTAGCTAATAATAAAGAGGTATTATTAACTCTTGTTACTACTACTAGAGCTAAGAAATAACTGTGTGGCGCTCAAACATAACTCAACATAATTTACTAAATACAGTAGAACAGATATTTTAAAGCCCATAAAAACACGCTCCACAGATTAAACGTTATAGCTCTACCTCCCACATGGACAAGAAGGGGGCATCGGAAAGTGAATGCCGTGAAAGATCTCCAAAAACCATGCTCAATCTGAATGTAAGAATGACGATAGCCATGGACGTTCAGTAGATTAGATTATCTCAGAAAATGTAAGAAGTTTCTACCAGTGGTTTACAATTTACACGACGACTTAGTCACTATGAGATTGAAGGTAAAAAAACTTTTGCGAAATGTGCAATAGGCAAATGTGGGTGAATGACGAGAACACTTTGATTATGAAACACAAGTTTAATGGATTAAGGTAATCTGAAAAGTAGCAACGGTAATGTACGCTTAAATGCAATAATAGATGCAGCGACGGGTTAGGTAATCCGTTTTATTATGATCACAGTACGATTGATGATGGAAGCAGGTTTGCAAATGTAGTAATCATTTCTGGGAAGAAATGGTGGCCCTAAAAAAGGGGCCAGGATCATGCTTTAACTGTATGGCGCGCGTTGACTCTACTGGTGGAGCTGGTGTACTTTGTCGACAGCGCTTCGTGCGCTCAGATACTCGCGTCTGCCTTGGCCAGCCTCTCCGGGCAAGAATGAGACGCGAACCAGGCAAAAGTCTGGATCTCCCTGCTCGAGATCGTTGAGGCGCCTTGTTTGTAGTGCGCCAGACGAGGGAAGACTCGCAGCTCGCCGGCGAATTACGCTCGAAGACTGTCGTTGACGAAGCTGTTCATGGAATGCCATCGCCTTGCTAGAGTGCGCGTGTCCTGGGTGAACCGCTTCAACACCGTTGGTAGATGTAGATGCTGTACTGCTGCTTTCTCTTCTTCGGCTCCTCTTCTTACCCATCGGTAGGCCTCTCTGAAAGCCTACAGCCCTTCTTGCACGAGCTTTTCCACTTGGCTTTGGCGGCATGGTGCTAGATAGATATCGTCTGACCTAGAGTAAAAACAGTCAGTGGATCAGTGCATGTAAGACCAGTAGACTCTCAACCCTATTTATAGGAGCAGGTCGGATCAGGAAAAGCTAACGGAATTTTCAAACCACATTATGCGTACCAATCAAAGCGAGAAGCAGCGATAACCAACTACACGTCACGTCACACCGGTTTGGCCAGTCGAAAACCCGTTCGCGCGAAACAAGCAATTCGCGCTCGCCTATTGGTGGGAGAAAACTACGTTGTAATCCTCGTCTAACGTATAAATACGACACTGAAATGTTTTCCGATAAACTCACAAGTTTTTAGTCTTTACACAGATTTTATATTGTCAACATGTCTGGGCGCGGTAAAGGAGGAAAGGTTAGAGCAAAGGGAAAGCAGCATGAAAGCAAGTCGCGCTGACCTGGCATTCCGCTGTTGGACGTATCGGCATCGTACTGCTTCGCAAGGCAACTATGCGAGCAGGCGTTGCGCGCTGGAGCTCGCCGTTCCTACCTGCGCCGTCCGTTGAGTCCTGACGCGCTGAGGCTGCTCGAACGCTTGGCCGGATAACGACTGCTCGTGACAACTGGGAGCAGACGTNGCCACTGACATGCCAAATACGGGAATGTAGTCCTATACCTTCTCTAATACCCATAGCGAATGCTACGAGATAGCATGTATCCGCTTCGACTTCGTATTCAGCCGATTTCCATGCTCCCATTTCTGCCCTGATGTCATAGGTCATTGCTGTCAGCGTCTAGGTTTGTCTCATGCGCAATGCCGGGAACCTTAGCTCCGCGCTCGATCATTGCTGGTCTCGTACATGCTAACCAGCTCGCGCAGTGTCCATTCTTAGTATGTTGTGACACCTTTCCCGACCCTGTGCGCCAAGATTGCATTTCCCCGCATCGCTATCGCTCTCTCGTGGCATCTGCAATTTGCCCGCTACAATATATATAGGATATATTATAGATATCTATGCTGACGGTAGCTAAAACAGGTTGTCTGATAATGGGCGGGAAAGCCTGTTTCGGGTTCGCTAAACATTCCGTTCTCAGTGACTAGGACGGTACTACTATCGCGGCCGAGAGGGAGGTATAAATAGCCGCTCTACTGCACAGCTGCACAGTAGGACTGTAGGAGTAGGTCATATCATCATATTCTTTAGCAGTACGGTTGCGAAGCTTACAGCTAATTATCATGTCTGGAAGAGGAAAGGGAGGAAAAGGACTCGGAAAGGGTGGCGCCAAGCGTCATCGCAAGGTGTTGCGTGACAACATCCAGGGAATCACCAAGCCTGCAATCCGTCGTCTCGCTCGCAGAGGTGGTGTGAAGCGTATCTCTGGCCTCATCTACGAAGAGACCCGCGGTGTCCTGAAAGTGTTCCTCGAGAACGTCATCCGTGATGCCGTCACCTACACCGAGCACGCCAAGAGGAAGACCGTCACCGCCATGGACGTTGTCTACGCTCTCAAACGTCAGGGACGTACTCTGTACGGATTTGCGGCTAAATCTAGACTACAGGCTCACCAACAGACATAACAAACCGGCCCTTTTCAGGGCCACCATTTCTTCCCAGAAATGATTTCTACGTTGCTATATCGGCAAGAGGTGTGATTTTTTTCCGCATTTGGCGAATTCGGCTTTTTTAACAGCCCCGGGTCGATTTTGTGAAACGTCAAAATTTGTAATGAATTTTTTTTTAGCTAATAAGTTAAAGGCTCACAATGCGCATCCAAACGCTAATTTCTCCAGTACTACTACTACTAGACTAGCAAATACTTCGTGTCATGCATAATCACACTACCTTATGACAAAATAAACTAGTTGCTCCCATTTCACTGCGCGTTTGCTTCAAACCGACAAGAAAGACTCGACGGTGAAAAGATGCATCATGCAAGGGGAAAATTGGGGGGGGGGCAATGATCGCGGCGCATGTATAGTGTATACTAGGCCTACGCCATATTTTTCGCGTACCTATATTTTCGCGAATTCAGACGACGGACAATTTCGCGGTCGGTGAATTATAAATTAGTCGCTTGTTAGGGAAAATTGGGGGGGGGGCAATAATGCGGCGCATGTATAGTGTATAGGCCTACGCCATATTTTTCGCGTACCTATATTTTCGCGAATTCAGACTTGACGGACAATTTCGCGGTCGGTGAATTATAAATTAGTCGCTTGTTGTTATTTTCGCGGTCGGGGACTCGTCGCGAAATCGCGAAAATTAAACCACGCGAAATATACAGTGTACTGTGGAATATATCTCGAACGTAGACCGGCGGAGTGAGGGTTATATTGGCTTATATTTTATATTATATTCGCAGCGCATGCATCTTGCATGCGATCTCACGAAATTTCAATGAACCCCGTTCTGTCCCAATATAACCCTCACCAAAATATAAAAAAGGTTATATGGGACAGAATTATTCGGTCTATCTCGAACGTAGACAGTAGGACGTAACAGTTGTATAAACGGTGACAATTACAGTTTTATTACAAACACGGATAAAAGCAGTGTACACGTACCGATCAGAGGTTGCCTTCGTCTCCCCCGTTTCTACCAAAACCCTAACCCGACCAGGCTGTGTGACTAACGTCAATACACCTAGGTATTCTAACCCTAGCAATACCGTTTCTTGGAGCTACCAAAACCCGTACTTTTGAAACCGTCCGCATCCTCGTCGCGACCTGTTTAGACTTAAACTAATTTATGACGCGGATAGTGGATATAATGACCGGTCGCGACTAATGTCCGATGGTACCAGGTAGGAGCGCCGAGCACCGTGGCCGTTGCCTGCTTAATGATGGCCGTTTGATAAACCGCATCGCATTCTTGTTGAAGTTAAACCCTTATATGTTCGTACCATTCTGAAATGCATTCTGTCCACGCTGCATTATGTGTGCTCTTAAGTATGTAGCTAATGTCTTCTGGGTCCCTCGCCGGCCGTCCCTGAACATTTGCATGAGTAATGTGCCAAATTCCCAATGTCTTCATCTCAAAGCTAAAACGCCGTACTACAATTAACAGTATACGCCAGCCCCTCACCCCCGGGCTGTGGATTCAGTTTTTATCAAACCCCAGCAATTAATCACACCTCTGATATGAGATCATCTTATGTGATTAAAGCTAAGCAATGACACGTCGTTATCTACCCTGTCAAACGTCCGGGACGTACACTTGTACGACTTACATAGACCAACCATAGACGTGCGCGGTTTATTGATCTGTTTTTCTAATCACACACCTGTTGCGCAAAGGCGAAAACTCGTATATGGAAAGCCCATGACACAGCCGACAGGTATTAAAGATGCTTTAATTTTCCCACAAAATAAATTATTTTAACATTGCACGTTTGTACTTGCAGATATATGTGTGATGGGTAAAAAATACGATGGTGCACCGACTGATGACCTAGTAATCCACTAACAGTAAATATCCAACTATATATGTACATATATGAGTATTACGTAAAATATACAATTGCAAAAAACAGATGTTTCTTGGATAATAGTATATTCCATTTCTTTCTTTGTAATCGATACTCTGTCCGGTCATCGAATTAAACTTTAATAATAACACTACAAATACATCCCAACAAGTGCCGCAGAGCGACAGCGCTCACCTGACGGCAGGTGTTCTGATGCTAAACTCACTGGCAAACGAATGAAGGGCACCCTCCCATCATCGCGTTCGCGCTCAGAGCATATATCTAGGATACAGTAAAAACCCGCGTATAAGAACATAGATTTTAAGAACATGTTAGGCTAAAATTTCCCATTTAGACCCCTTTACATAAGAACCTGTTTTAGGCTAAGATTTTAAAGTAGGTTCTTAATTTTCCTTGCAGATGAAGACTTAAAAAGAAACACAGGTAAAATAAAAAAGACGAGCTCAACAATATCGATGCAATAACAATGCCAATGCCAATGCCAATGCCAATGTCAATGCCAATGCTCAACAATAACAATGCCAGCAAATATTTCACTGTGTACTTGCCAAACAAATGGTTAATGTGTTACGTGTAAGCATGATTGTACATGTATTTGTATTGACATCTCAACCATAAAAAACAAACATGTGCAACAACTAAACTCTCCATATAACACCTTACACATAACACTACTGTACTGGTAACACATGCATCACAGATCCTAAGCCCGCGCGTGCAGCGGAGTTTCAGCTAGTACATATGAAAAGTAGAAACATTAAGAACCTATTCGAAAGAACCTTTTGAGCCTAATTTTTTCAGTAAGCACCATTTATATAAGAACATGGTTGAGGCTAACTTGAAAAATCTAATGTTTTATACGCGGGGTTTTTACTTACTACTAATACACCATCTAAATCTATGATAGCTAGGCTTTGCTTACCGGTATATACGTAAGTAAAGATACAAGCTGTGTAACATTTAATGAACTTCAGCTATATTAACATGTTATCATTGGATATGCGTCGGCTGGAGCGTAGTGGTTGTGGTGGGGAGGGTGGGGGAGTGGGGGATGAGGGGGGCAGGAGAGGGGAGGGCGGGAGGATGGGTGGTAGACGGGAAAGGGCTTTATAATATGGCTAACAAGTGCAGGTTTCAGTCACTTTAGTTAGGCTAATGTCCTCTGTCTCGTGACATCCGGTATGCTTTAAACCACTCTAATCTAGAAAGGCTGGTCATAAACTGTTTTGCTATTTACAACTCATAGTTAGACTCCTTTGACATGTCGCGGCAATAAGTCAACCTTTCGATGGATCCTTTCATAAGCATGAAAAAATATGGAGGTAGAGTCACGCCTAAAACAAAAAAGTTCTTTTCAGTTGCTCCGTCAGACCATGTACTCAGAAAATGTTCTAAATCTGCCTGTGCCCCATTGACCTTGCCATGGATTTGTTAACTCTCGCATGTCAGCGAAAGTACATTTTCATGGTCTTCAATAAATGCCATTAAAAAGTGCTAGGTCACCGCTGAACAAAAAAGTTTTTCAATTGCTCCGTCAGACATGTCCTCGAAAATGTCTAAAATCTGCCTGATGCCGCATTGACTTTGACCTGTAACTCAATTTCGCACAGCATGATGGCTTTCCGTACCATGATGTTATACCACCGACTATCACGCAGCCTAGGTCGAGCCGATTTAGATTTGTGCCGCAATTCTTGCATTTCTTCCCTATACTTTAAGTTAAGGAGGGAATGTTCCCCCTTCTTTTACACCTCTTGACCTTTGACACCCAGCTTCGACATCCCAACTCGTTTTGACGATCCCCCCAACGTCCCGAATATCGTGACACTGACCGTACGTCGAGCGGTTAAGATTTGTGCCCAACTGTTGACGGACGCACGGCCGGACGCACGCACGGACGGACGGACGATCATGCGATTCTACAAGCTGCATCTGACTATGTCAGATGAGCTAAAAATGGACCATCAGTTGGAGTAGTGATTCACTTTATTGTTATTCTGTGCGGTACAACAAATATTAAAGCGAACGGTACAACAAATATTATAGTTTTATTGCTGGATGAATTATGATATCAGAACCTCTAGTGAAGGTAATAATTTCTAAAGTTTTCGTTTTATCGCAATGCGATTCGCAGTTGTAATTGCGGTTAATTGCATTGGAACACACAAAATATTGATATTAATTGGTTTATGATTAAACGAGTTTAGGTATCCTAGCATTCGGGTGACCTTTAATTGCTATATCTTGATAATATCCCCTACATGCATGTCATTTCGCAAATTGTGCATGTGTTGTCAGAGAAGCATTTGAACGGCATTTACAGAAATTTATTACTAATAATAGGCGAAATAGGGTAGAGAAACATTAAGACTTTTGTAGTAAATACATTTCGTGTTTATTTACCAGCATTTTATTATTGAAACGTTCCGAGTGCCTGTGCTTCGTTTGGCAGCCAGAGCAACAGCTGATAGCTCACTAGCCTATCTAAAGAGCTGCGTCTTATTAATTTATTCGGGGGACCCCTTTATCTTTTCACGATTTCTTTACCTATGAGAGTTAAGTCATACAACAAAACACAAATAGCATACTATCGAATATATCTTCACAAGAAATCACTTCTGCACAGTCACATTATATACAAGAGGATTTACGTTAGTAGCGTCATATCAGTCGTTATGATTCTTCTTCTCGTTCATACCATGAACGCTCCTGGAGTAAGTAGTAGGGTGGGGTGAGGGTGATTAATTCCGAAATATCGAAGAACACACATTCCATATATTCTCTCAACGATTATACTGATCTAATTTTTCGCATAACTTAGATAGGTAATTCATAACTCGTTTTATCATAAGCCTCTTTTTTCGACCCGCCCGTTGTCTGTTCGGATTGTTTTCGCTGCGTGTGAAAATAATTATGAGCAATCGACGTAAATCAGTTTAGAGGTGTCCCACTATCGTTGACGAATGCACGGAAATAAAGTTTTGCCATTTTATTGCTGAAGTTCAGCGCAGTGGAGGCAGCCTATAAAGTACACAGTTATAGAACATGCATTTGCTAGCCAATTTGTCGTTGGTCCGTCGCATTGAGTCTTGACCAGCGATTATTTTTATTTTACTGCTCTTCGCATATAGTTGATACCCCTTTGCGGCCAGTATTTCGGCCGGTATCGTTTTCACCTATTATGAGCTGAGCCACACTAATCGAGTAAAGTTAATCCAGCGACGCCATACGTTGGCAGAATATTCATAAACTGTCATAAGCATCGCTTGTTAGCTCTAACCCGGCACGGAAATAGAATGTGATGAGAGTCGAGCATATGGCTAGATTTGAACACAATCAATATGTCAATGTTCTCAATCTTATCGTTTTAGACATCGTTCGCGCGCTTGCTAGCGTTCGATATATGTAATTCATCAGCAAAGTACAGTGTCTAAGCACTGGTACGGCTAGATATTAATGTTGAAATAGCAGTCGTCACCTTAATGTCACAGATGAACAGCTGTTAGTTTTCCCTGGTTAAATATCGCTACGCCCCAGATTTCCAGCACACAGTACATTTTTCGATGTTAGATGACGCGATGGAACACAGATAGCTATCTGGATGTCTTGTGCGGTTGTTGATCCCGTTAATTTTCCCTGTAAAACGTAAAGAATTTCTACGTCGCAGCGCTTTCTGAGGACGTTCAGCGTTATACGTTCCTACACTGAATCGCTATAGTGATTATTATACGTCACCATCATGCTCGGCGTAGGGGAAGTCGGGTTAGTTGTGGCGCTAGGTGGAGCGTTGCTAGCCTGCCTCGCGATCGTCGCCTGTGCAGCTGTCCTGTGTCTATGCAGGAGGAAGAAGAAGACGGGTGCGAATGAGAAGCTGCTGAAGAGCGGCGGCGGGAACCACGGCAAGTTCGTCGCGATGTGGTCGCCCCCCATGCTAACCATCAGCCGAGAGGCTCAGCCTCGCCGACGTGAAAGCAGCATCTCTCAGCTGCCCTACGGCGTGGAGCAGGAAACCATTTCTGCGTTCAGGACCTACAGGTAGCCGTTCGTCATCAGGGCCGTAGGCTGAGCAAGTTCCTAGGGGGGGGGGGCAAAAATTTCATTACTCAACTGTGTAATGATGAGCGACGGGTGCAGCTCTTGATCGACGTCCATAGTGTAGTATGGATAGGTTTGAGACAAGGCTTTCACGGATAAGTTACCAAAAAATCACGTTGGGGTTATTTACGATTATTAGCTAAGCTTATTTTTTAATTTTGCTCCAAATGTTTTGCTCATGTACTCCGCTCTCCGGACTAGGCGATCACAACGTTGTAGCCGCTTACATCAATGTATGCTCCCGCGTTTACACTTTCGCGTTGGGAAAAGTGCTAACGCGGCCGCATGCATAGTGTAAAAATTAAAGACGCATATCCCTTTTCGATGCTCTCCCAACGCCTCATTTTTCATCATGCGTTCTTGGCTGGCGAATGCGGTTACCGATTGACCGGATTCAATTACCGGTGTCAATTACTCCGCATTACGTATTTCAGTCAGGATTTCGGACATATATTTCCCCTTGCGACCACGGCCTCTATGAGTTTTACAATTAGGCGATTAATAACTTGAATTCTTCTCCTAATATATGAAGCACTTATGCGAGTTAATGCATGAACGCTAAGAAAGACGACTATTATCTTGTCTACATTGTATACAAAGTGTAATTAACCACTTATAGTTTCACTATCCTCTAAAATATGACCTATGATCTGAATAGCACAATAATGGCAGTGTAGTCGCTGGATAATTTCTGCTGCCAGACAACTGTGTGCTATGTGCGCCGTGAAATGGGTGCACAATTGTAGTGTAATTGTTTGTAAGAACAGGAATAAAATTAGAATAGAGGGATGTAGTTCACAACTCCCGCTTCACCGTATATTATTTACTCACTAAAAGCACGTACAAATCACACAGGGTAAAAATAAAGGTTACGCACTATACACAGTAAATTTAGAAACAGACGAGGGTGAGAGCGAGAGCCTCGAGTCTCTCGTGCGAGCTGTTTTATACCCCCGATCTTGCAAGATGAGCCGCGATACCACTACCAAATATGCTTCTACCAATTACTGCTGGCTACAGGGAAGGCATAGGGTCCCTTATTAGCGCCTATGGACAGTTCTAAGGTGATGACGGAATGAATAGCCATTGCATGGCGAGTCGGGGTTGGAGATGTTTTGCGCGCCATCGGCCACGTAGATGGCCGACGGGGTATGACGTAGGGCTGATGGCACATTGCGCCAATTTAAGAATAGAGGCGATATAGATAGCTTTAGATGTGTAATGTGTGGGGTTAACCTATAGCGCAAACTATATGTGGCTAGTGTGCAGCGTGGAACTAAACCCTGTGAAAACTAACGGTGTGTGTGCGGTTGCACTCCGGTTGTCTATTAGTAGCTGTTTATGTGTCCAGCAGTCCGGATCGAGATAGATCGTTGATTCTAGCCAGCTGGTATGGTGTAAAATTAGCGTGTGTGAGCTGGTATTATAGATGCTTTCGCGGAATGACATTAGCGTTGCTACAGCAGAATACCGACTATACCACCTATCCGCTATAGTAATGCACTTTGCAACATTTGAATCGTGCAGGGAAATAAGCACGAAAACGGCGGACAAGAAAAGCGCGTCTGCCTCTGCCGGGTTGCTGGTGGCGAAACATTTGCGTGTCTCTGCCCTGTCCGAGTCGGATACCAGTGCAATCGACGAGTACAGCGACGTGTCCCTACAGGACGAGGGTGAACAAATGGTACCCTTTAGCGACAGCGACATCTTAACACCAGGAAGCGTGACGACACGTTTATTGCCCAGCGTGCAGTTTTCGGTGCGCCTCATGTCGGATGTTGAGGCAAATACAGTGAGGGTCACCATGAAGGGCATCAGCAATCTGTCGAGCAAGTATAACCACTGCGTCAGATACCAGGTGAACGAAATATATAGCTAATGTTATATCGAGATCTAAACTTGAATCGTGATTTAAAGTCACCCTCGGGCAAAGCAGATTATATGCGACGAAAAACGTTTCTGAAGTTTGATTTGCTTTTCATGTTTCAATGATTTCGCGTAGGTATACTAAGCGACGTTAAAAAATAAACTTGGAGTTACACGCAGGATCATCTTCACAATCAAATGACTAAATTAGTGCTGCGCGCTATCTAATGCATATCTTTTATTACCACGACATTTTTACCTGTTGAAGGTCACCTTACGGGAGGCATCTGGTAGGGGACATAAAATACTGCTCCCCGTCAAGAAGAGATTGACCGAACCGGGTGGCATTGAAAACGAATTCGACTTCGTCGTTGCGAAGGTGGTCGCGCATAACTTGACGTTACGTGTCTGCGTGTATGCGAAGGACGCGACTGAGCATGAGATCTGGTTAGTAGGGGAGCTACTGGTACCCTGCTGCAACGTACGTTGGACGACGCCCGAACGAATATACAGCGAAGAATTGAATACGAAATTGCGACGGAAGAAGTCGGGCGCGGCGAAGCAACTTGTGAGGGTATGCAATTGCCACTAGAATGGCATCCTAAAATCTTGGCATCACCGTTAATACCGAAGTCCGACTTGCGTTGTAAATCAAGTTTAAAATAATAAATCTCAATCTCAATAAAATGCTCATAGTGAGCACGTATGTAAACAAATCTCACTAAATGTGAGAAAAAGCAAACCTTGAATGACTATAAGGTGCATACGGGGATCAAACCTGTGTCGTAAATCCAAACAGTAAATATAAGCAGAAATTATCACCGGATCCCATCCTGTCAGTTCGCACTATCAAGTTTGCCAAATATCTCAGAAGCTTTAGCGGAAAGTATTTACTAGAGAAGGAAAGATAGAAAGAGTAAGGAGGAGAGGGCATACGCTTTATGCAAATGATATATTCATGCCCGAATCACGACCATGTAAGTGCACGTGTGCATCTGTCGTGTATATAAGCCCACGTTAAGCCATGAGAGATTGGTCAGTCCCATGTTTTGTTTGCCTTCCTCCCACTTTCAGAATGGTTTTGCCGGCCCTGCCCAGGCCTGTTCTTCATATATTCTTGAAATGGTTTAGTTAGGCTCTGCGACTGGAATAGTCGTTGACAATTAATCCTGTGACATTTTCTCGAACGTGTGCTATTTTACGGTGTATTGTAAATGTCATGTTCATCGTGTAAGACGCGGCTAAATGCATAGCAGGGTATCAAAACGACGACACATTGCAACAGAGCTGCAAAAAAGATGATAGCGTTCTAGAGTTCCCATCAAAAAGTTAGTCAGATCGCCGTACTTATATTCTTTAATATATTAGCTTTTATATTAGTTTTAACAATACTATAACAACTTCCGCAGAAGCTGTCGTCTAGCCTTCGACCACAGCAGCAGAGCATCAACAGATCCGCGTCGTGGTCTGGCTCGCTACATCAGGATAGCACTGATCAGGCTGAAGTAGTGCATGTCGAAGTCGGTCAGTTATTCATACTGCTGCGGTACGAGGACAACGCGAATCGCATAAATGTTGTCATTAAGGAAGCCAAAAAACTACCGATGCTCAACTGGCTTCCTAGGCGTCCTGGTTAGTATAGCGAGAACTTATAGTTTAGGTATATATAGAAGAGGTTATATATATAACCTATATTACCGCATTTGTAGGTAGTATCAGGATGAATAAAAACAAATTGTTCGTGTTTATTCATTCTTGGTGGTATTCTAGTAATGCATGATATTACCCATAACAACCCGATCGATGTGTCAGTGGTATATCGGTTCGTGTATCGAATAGAGAGTAAATGATAGGTAGTAAAGGGTTAAATGTGTTTTCCCAAGCCCACTACTCTGTACCCTCCCTTAGGAATTTGCTCACAGTTCCACCTTCACCCGCCCAAGCATGAAGTCATGAATCACAACGCTATGTAGCCTATACATACGTCGGAATTCTCACGCGGCACTTTTATTGTTATTTACTATGTACCTGTTGTTCGGGGATAGAGTAAATTCCCTAAGGCGATTACTTGTGATTAATCTGTCGAAATTTACCGTTGAATATTTCAGAATACTATGTAAGCACACATCTCATGAGAAATTCTGATACACTTACGACTAATGACACAGAGAACGCCCGTGGTTACAATCCAGTCTGGAACCAATCCTTCTCGTTCAGGGTATGTGTTGCGATTAGATAATATAAGCTGAAAATTTTAAGGGACGTTCTGCGTATTTAGTGATCTACAAAGTAAAATACGCGACAGCTGCAGCAAGTCTTACAGACTGAAAACAAGAATAACGCCAATATTAATGTCGGGGCACGTATACGTGGTCGAAGTCAATGTGCAACTCATTTCCCTTGCACAGATACTCATCAATTACGTTATCGATTAACTTGCAGATACCTAACTTCGAGAATCAAGGGTACTGGTTAAAATTTGTCGTGTGGAGGGTGGCACTCTATGATCGGAATTCGGACGTAGGCGAGGTTTGTGTCGGATACAATAAACCAGGAGCCTCTCACTGGGAGGAGGTAGGAAACGCGCGCAGAACGATTCGTCTCTGTTCACAGGGAACCTATATATACATCACACTCTATATTTGACGTGTTTACGGCATACTATCTCAGGGGAAGAAAAGGATTACTTGCTTGTCTACGATTTTCCCTGTATTTACATCAAAGTAAACAATAGAGGATCACAGACTTGTCGAGAGTTCATTGAACATATATATATATATATATATATATACTCGGCCCGGCGATGTTTGAAAAAATGGGATTAACAATTTCACGGCAGGTGACGAATTCTACGTATTATCATGGGAATTGATAAAATTACACACCCGCAAACACGACACAGAGAACTTGTATAATCTCTTGCCTGAAAATCATCTTAACTTGAGTAAACAATTAGGAACAAATATTTATGTAAGCCCTATATGGTCCTGCGAGGTTCACATATTTTCACACGATCGCGAGCGTTTTCAAGCCGCTAAATGCCTTCCCGATATATCCTACAGGTAATACAGCCAAGTGGGACCGAAGCCGCAAGATGGCACTCTATTCTTTCGGCGCAAACGAGACCACGGGGCTGCCAAGCGAGCAGCCTCGGCCATCTCTATCGATCACAGAGCCATTATTATCCAAAATAGTACCAGCGTTATCAGCCGCAGTGGGTAGGGCATCTGCACAAGGCGCTACGTGCAAGCGAGTCCTGCTCCGCATGTTGCAGTATAACATGGAATAGCCTGCAACCGTAACTTTACGAACCCGGATAAAGAAAAGACTTAAATGTTTGGCTCACACGCATAATTTTTTAGCGCGCCATAACTTATATATAATATATATGGCTTATATATAACTTATATATGACTAATATTAATAACAGCGAAAATCTACTCGGACCTACGTGGAACAAATTTCGATTAAGGAGGTTTTAGCGTGTTAACAATATCCCGTATGGTCTTCAATGATTTGATTCGATATACATAGCATAAATCGGGTATTAGTAAATATCATGCGTATAATCCAGGTAGGCCTTATAATCAATAGAAGATCAATATGTATGAGCTTTCCAAATTAGAATAAAATATTTTAAATGAAGCCAATTACTGTGTATATTTAAATCACGAAGCCAGGCAATTATTAATACATGGTTTCACAAAAGTGTGAATTATTTTTTCAAGGACCTTTTAAGAACATCTCAAGAACATGTGTTTTTTTCAAGGACAATCTGCGACAAGTAGTTTTAGCTTTTGAGAGTCATCATATATACCTTAGATTCATATATAAAGTAAAAATTGTTGTTTTAGACGAGTGCGGACAGCAGATTATACAGCTGCCGAGTACCGACGTACACAATAGTTGTTTCATAATATCATTCACGTAGATTCATTTCACAGTCCTGTAACAATATGTAAAGCTTTGATGTAACATGTATCACTCAGAACTATGTATCACACAATGTACTGTATCACTCAGAAATGTTATTATTTTAACTGCTCAACACTATTGCATTTATCAGATTTTTTTTTCATAATTTTCGTATTTGTAGTTGAAATACATGCAATAAAGATTTAACAATAATAATAATAAACAGTTGCCGGTTCGTTATGCTGACCTTTCATCTTCTGTGTCAGGCAGTAACATTAACTATGGAAAGCCATCCCCTTCAAAAATCATTTTCTAAACAACAAACCAATTTACTAACTTGCAATTTAATTGAGAACATGTTACATAAACTCACAAATGTTCAAATCTTGCTTCATCACCCTAACAGTTGAAATTACAAGTTTTAAATAAATTTACAGAATAACGAATCAGTTCACTAAGTTTGAAATTAATTCATTACAAAATCACCAGAAATGCGAATCTATCTGTTGGTTTCAGAATTATTAGGTAACAAACGACAAATGTATAGCTTAAATTACAAATTAATCACACAGCTTTCAAAACATATATAAACGTTTACAATTGTGGCAGATACGTTCAGCTCTTCCATCAATCATTACGTGATCTCGACGACCCTGTCGAGGAATTTACGTCCGGTATGTTCGCGCGCGCGGGAAGGGGGGATATAAAAAGGCTGGCCGTGCGGCGACAGGGAAGTTAGTCTTGCTAGCTCGAGAGACGTTAGTATCGCTAGCTAAAGAGAAGTTAGTATCGCTAACTCGGGGGAGTTGGCACCGTCAGCTCCGCGAGGAAAGTTGTAACGGTGGAAGGGCTGGTGGTGTGTTGTACACGCCGCTAGTGAGTGAGAAATGAATAAACCTTGCGTTATCCGTACTTCCTCTGTACTGTCTTCATCTGCGAGTGCGTTTCCGCACGACCCTTCGAACTTCCGATCTGCCCGAATCAGTGTAAGGTTTGAGCGTACCTTACCGGGAAAACGCGGCTAGCGACAGCAAGGCGATCACAGGCCAACGAAAGCCCGGCAACGCTAGCTGAGGTGCCACGTCACATTCTGACCTGGGACGGGAAAACGCCACATTTGGAGCCGTGACCACGAGCAGATCGGAAGAAGAGACACACCAGCTTTATTTGGTGCCCTGTTCGCGTGTCGAATCGAAGAAGAAATGAAGAGACACACAAGGCAGACGAGATGACGCAGGAAAAGAAGGAGTGGTAATCGCAGAAACCAGGGAAGAAAGTCCAACGAATGGACAGATCGGCAGTCCGTTGCAATGTGAGAGCCAGAGTGAAGGACCCCCCACGAGTGGTGAGTCAGAGGGAGAGAATGAGTTACCGGAGCGGGTGGTAAATCAAGGCAATTTTAGTCAAGGACCGAGCCGTGCGGAGGAGCCCGCGGAGACGCGGGGAGAGCCGCGGAGCATGTTATTGACAGCGTTAAGGAAGAGGTCAGTGGCAGGGTGTCCCACCAACGTGAGCGAAGCTATACTCTTATGGAGGAGCCCGTTGCAGAAGGTGCGGTGCCGTCCGGAGCAGGCCACGGGAGACAGCTGCGAAAGATAGAAATGTTGAAACTCATGACGGAGTGGAATAAGTCGAATCCCGCACAGCAGATTAGAATGGTGAAGTCGGCTGCGGAAGAGAAAGCAATGGAGACAGGAAGTCACCATGCAAGTAGTAGGTCAGCTAGAGATAGCGATAGTGACTTTTCCGGAAGAAGCCGCGGTCACCGACGTCGGCGCCAGAGGGAAAGAGAGTTGAGAGGCACGGAGCGATGAAGAAGTGACTCGTCGAGTTCAGATTCAGGGAGTGGTGGCAGAACGATCTGGAGAAGGACGAGACGGCGTTCTAGACAGTTGAGCCATAGTCGAAGTAGGAGTAGGAGGTCGGAGAGCGGACCCTGCCGGCGACGCCACCGCCATGAACGAGAGAGGGGGAGTAGGAGGCCACCTACCTTAACGAGGCAATGGGAAGGTACGGTTGTGACTTTACGTCCACCAGGATGTCTGATACAAGTCGGAACGTTTGCGGGAACACCCGGAGAGCCGTTGGATGAGTTTCTAAATCGGTTTGACGTGGCCGGACGGTACCATCAGTGGGATAGGGATGCATGGGCAGATCAGCTCGCTGCAGCATTGGGCAGACCGGCCGCTGGTATACTGTCTGAGTCCACGAGCCGGCAGAATGAGGCAAAACTTAGGGGAAAGTTAGAAGATCGGTATGGAACGGAACAGCACCGGATCCGGAACCAGGCAGCCCTGGCAAGCCGGAGAAAGCAACCGAAGGAGGATTGGCCGGAATACGTGAGACAGCTGAAGAAATTGGCGAGATTGACCATGCCACGAGCAAAATTAGTGAGTGGCTGGTGCCCCGACTTAAGGAAGAGTTGCCGTCCGATGCGCACAGAATTTATATTCTGGGGCTGAGGTGAAGGACGGCAGGAGACGTTGCTGCGTGTGCGGAAGATTTTGACGTAGAAATCAGAAGTAGGGTGACGCCCAGGAAGCCGTTAGGGGCGCCAGTTAAGTTCGAAGGAGTGGCCCACGACATCGATGCGATCAACAAAGTGGAGACCATCGCGGAGGCTGGACGACCCGTGGAAGTAGAGACAGATATCCGTGAGTTAACGAGACTGATGCGGAAGTTCTTAGCATCCGGAGAGAAGAAGAAAGATCAGAACGGAAGCCGCCGTGGAGGACGGAGAACGAGTGGCAGAGGACATGTAGACCAGATACGATCGACTGCGTGCTTTCGATGCGGAGAGGAGGGTCACTTCACTCAGGACTGTTGGCAATGTCAGCGGAACGGCCCGAATGGACACGTCTATGACGGACGGTATCACGCCGGAAGAGCGGTAACCGGGTATTGCGGATCGGTACCACAGATGGGAAGCTCATAACCCCTTCGGGCAATAGAGGGTTCGGAGGAAGCCGCAGCGCAGCAGCGCGTGGAAAACTAGTGCAGACGGGGTCAGTGCCGACAGCCTCAGCCTGGAGAAAGAAACGGCGACGAAAACAAGGGCAGCGGAGAGCATTCCTACGGATGGTGCGGAATCGACCATCATGGAAGTTAACGCTACTGGTGGAGGGCCAGCTAGTAGATTTTCTAGTTGACACTAGAGCGGAAACGACGGTGATGGATGACGCTGCTTTTGCGGAAATCTCAAAGGCTGAGATAACGCTAAAGCCTACCAAAGCGTGTGTGATGGACGTGCAACACCGGGTATTGCCGACACACGGCGAGTGTCAACTACGATTCGCCTTGGGAGGTCAGACCTTCAACCATGATTTCTTAGTAGTGGAAATGGGAGAACAAGGGGGAGTTCTCGGCATGGACTTCTTGGGGGAGAGAAACTGTAAGCTTGACGTGGGGCGTGGATACCTTACTGTCAACGGGGTGACTCATGCGCTGCACGGAGGTAGACCCACGGAGCCGCGGGTGTTATGGGCGGCCGACACAATCCGAATCCCGGCGGGACATGAAGTGATCGTGCACGGAAGTGTACGAGGGACGCGATGGAGAGCTGCGCGGTTAGCTATCGCCGAGCCCACCAAGAGGTTCAGAGAGAAAGGGGCTAAGGGAGGAACGGTGATGGCTCGTTGTCTGATGGATACGGACGGGGCTCGTGTGCCACTATCCATAGTCAATGTAAAGCCAGAGGACGTGATCATCTTCGCCAGAACCAAACTAGCGCGGTTGGAGGAGGTCGCCCTGGTTGGGACGTCGTGCGGGGCCCAGGCAGAAACTTCCGATGAAGAACTCCGACCGGAGCTCCCTGCGCAGCTGCAGGGGTTAATCGAGAGGATTGACAAAGCAGCTACGGAAAAAGAGAAGGCGAGGGTAGCAGACGTATTGCGGGAGTACAGGAGTATGTTCGCCCGTTCCCACACTGAACTGGGGAGGTTGGACGTTGTTCGTCACAAGATCGACATGGGGGATAACTACCCCCAGGAAACAGGCTCCACGGAGATGCCCGTTGGGTAGACAGAAAGCCCTGGACGCGGAGCTGGACCGGATGTTGGATGCAAGAGTGGTCCAGCCAAGCTCGAGTCCCTGGGCTCCACCGGTAGTGCTCGTAATGAAGAAGGATGGCGGGGCCAGATTTTGCATAGACTATCGCATCGATGACACCCTTGACTTTCTGGCGGGGGCAACCTGGTTCTCTGCGCTGGACTTAGCTAGTGGCTACTGGCAAGTGGAGATGAATCGAGAAGACGCCACCAAGACTGCTTTCTCAGTGAAACGCGGGCTGTATGAGTTCACTGTAATGCCAATGGGGCTTTGCAATTCACCGGCAACCTTCGAGAGATTGATGGAACTAGTACTCCGAGGACTGCAGTGGACAGAGTGCTTGGTGTACCTGGACGACGTGATTGTTTTCGGGTCTACCTTCGATGGAGCGCTAAGTAACCTCCGACATGTGTTCAAACGACTCCGGGAAGCCGGTCTGAAATTGAAGGCGAGTAAATGCACCTTTTTCGAAAGAGTGCAGCGTTTCTGGGACATATCGTATCACCAGAAGGGGTGAGTTGTGATCCACGCAAGATTGAGGCAGTCCGGAAGTGGGCGAGGCCGACGAGCGTCGCCGACGTTCGAAGCTTCTTGGGTTTCGCTAACTACTATCGGAGATTCATAGAGGGATTCGCAGCTATAGTAGGACCATTGACGGAGCTGACGCAGACAGATCACACCTACCAGTGGACAGACGCGTGTGAGCACGCCTTCCATGAACTGATAACTCGACTGACGGAGGCGCCCGTCCTAGCGTACTCTCAAGCAGAGGGTGGGTTCACTGTAGATACTGATGCCAGCGCAACCGGCATGGGGGCTGTGTTGTCTCAATGCCAGCGAGAAAAAAAGCGGGTGATCGCCTACTCAAGCAAAACTCTCTCCCTGACGCAACAGAAATACTGCACCACCAACCGTGAGCTGCTGGCAGTCGTACAAGCCGTGAAACAGTTCCGTCACTACCTGCAAGGGCGACCCTTCGTAATACAGACTGATCATGCCTCTTTAACGTGGCTGCTGAATTTTAGAGAGCCGGAAGGCATGGTGGCACGGTGGATTGCGTTTTTGGGGATGTTTGATATGAAAATTGAGCACCGTGCTGGACGCCTACATGGGAATGCTGACGGCCTCTCAAGACAGCCGGTGTGCCGTAAGTGTAAACGAGGCAGCTGCCCAGAGTG